CTTTAACTTTTACCAAAGTAATTTTTTGGTAAGATACTTAAACTTTTACTCAAGTATCACATTGTGGTACTTTATACAACATTGATAAAGTTTATGTGAATGCTAAACCACTCAGCAACATATTAGTTCTGCTAATAGCGGGTTAGCAGATGGGCAGAACGGTGCCCACCACTGCCTTTGTGTCATTTTGGAAAAGCGTCCATGTTTGAGTTCAGGTCGAAACTCATCAAGGAGATCGTTAGGAAGCTGATGGACTTCGAGTTTGGACACAAAGGTGAGATTTAATCTGTCTAATTGCTGGGAGAAATTGGTTAAGGCCTTTCSATTACATGATAACATGTAGGGATTGAGAGATCAGACGTCTGCCAAGATGTTTCCTTCCAAACAACTCATGCAGCACCAACTGTATGATGTAGAACATGTCAAAAGAAAAGCATCACATGAYGTCTACCTCCAAACTTCAGGGCTTACAAACATCTATTCAGATCTCCTGAAGCACAACATGCTGACAAAAGCTGTTCTAAGTGGATGTTTTCCCACATTTAAATGCAAATCGCAGCACATCTTAATGAAGAACAGATGCATTACACATTACCTAATGAGTTACAGGCTCAGGGATCAAATGAGTGAAGCTGAGTGAACATCAAACAGCCAATCATTCCTGGAGCAAAAGATTATCYGTCAGCTCCAAATCCCCCAACAGCTCCAAATAATCGGATGTAGTCCCATTATCACAGGCGCAACACAGGTGTGTGTCTGCTCACAACAATAATAAAAATATCACCTGCCGTCTGTCGGGTCTGAACAGTTGAACGCATCAGAGAGTTTTAAAAAAAAAAGATAAAATATCGCCTGGATGGACGACAGCTGAGGGTGAAGTGAGGAGGAAAAAGTGCTCACCTTTGCAAAGTGAGTCCAGCTCCACTGCAGTTACATAAAGACCCGTGTCAGCGCCACAAAACCCACAACTACGTTTCTAAAGAAATGATTATCCCTCGCCCCAATTATGTCAAGTGAGAACACAATGTTTTAGTTAACTCTGGAGTGGAGGCCTGCACAAAGTGAGTGGTGTGGCAGGAAACGGAGCACTATCAGGCTGTCAGAGTGGATTACAGTGACGGAGCACCTGCCTCTGCGGAGCTGAAAAACACCAACTTAAAAACCACAGAGCTGCTGCTGAAGTCAGCCACTCCTTTATAAAACACTGCATTATCTGAGGCGACATGAGCTGAGAATAATTATTTAAAAGCCAGATGAGGACAAAGCTCTGAACAATATTTCACTGTTTGACATGGTGTCTCTATTATAACGTGGCCAGGTCGAAAACGTCATTAGAAAAACATTTTTAAGTCATTTGTTAAACTTGTGCAGGTAAATACAAACAAACTGGTACCTTTGAAGAGGAGACATTTCATGCATTTAAATCCTTTTCCTTCAGTTGGAGTCCATGTAAAGTGGAACTGCAATGCTTTGGTCTGAACTCCTCCTTATAGTAACTCCACAAGCCCCGCCCCTTTTTGGAGGTGTGTCTCAGATCTACTCATTTTGAGGCTGTCACTTTAAATCCAAACAAGGCGCTTCACACTGAACTGAAAAGCTCCTTCAGCTACAGACTGCTGCATCCGAGGTGCACAAAGGAGCGTCATCACAGATCCTTCCTCCCTGCAGCTGTCGGACTCTATAACCTGCACTACGCCCAAAAATCACAGTAAGTGTTTACACACCTGCTGCTGCCCCAACAATCATTTGTACTGATACTATTCATTGTCATTCCTCATCTGAACAATCATTTGCACCACACTATTATTTTTAAAGTTTAAAAATAATTTTGCTGTAATTGCACGTGTTTCTCGTCTGCACTGTGATAATTTACAGTTGTCTGTTGCGATTGTTTTGCACTGAAAATAKGCAAATTCTAATTCCTAATGTCAAATTCTGATAGGTAACTACAGTCTCTAAAACAAAACATATTTTTTAATATCTGCACAGTCCTTTTTATTGCATTTTTATTAGTAGTAGTCGTATCATTGCTAGTTAGTGGTAATTTCATTTTTTGTGCACCGTCTATAATTCGTAAACTAACTAGCTAACCTCTGTACTGATGCTGCTGACACCTGAATTTCCCTCGGCAGGACAATAAAGGCYATTTCTATTCTATTCTTCYACACTCTGCCCCACTTCAACTTCCAGAGTGGTCTATTCTACTTTGATAGAGGGGTTTACGATTATATAGCTGCACAGAAAATAATTTGATGTAATAGTTTAGAAAACATCAGAAAGATAAAACTAAATATGAGAGACTCCAAGTACACAACAATGCATTTAATGGCTATAACAAGTGCATTTTGCATGAGATGTCCTCTTTAAATACAGTTAAATTAAAAGGTTAACGCTAATTATTCATCAGTGCACCACTTTAAAATAATCTTATCCACATCTGAGGTAAAGAAAATGTTTATTTGTGCCATGTTAGAGTTCCTGTTTGAAGAGGAACAGCAATTTATTTTGTCGGATCATATTACACTCAGCTTTCTTGCTCTGTCTCGACCCTCGTTTTCTGAGCAAGTTTTGACATCCTCTCCATAAACTCAGCTGCCCTTTCATCGCTCGGCCGTTTATTAACTGGACCACAATATAAACCTCAATGTCTGTCAGGTAAAAAAGCTCACCGTGCCCCCCACCCCCCAGCCTTTAGGTTTTATTTTAAAATGTCTCCTCTCCACAGTTTCTCTACATGTGATTGCTGAGCTGTAAGAAAAATAGTGAAACAGTTATTTCTAATTTATCCAAGGAACTCAAGTTAAAGACTTACAGCTGCTTTGATTGTTAAAATACAACCTTCTGAAATGGATAAATTAAACAGAGTCTTTTCAAGATGATTAAAATTTCTAGACATGTCCATTCCTGGTCCCTGAGGGCCACTATTCTTAGTTTCACAGCTCTTCAGCAGGTCTTCAAGTTCTGTAAAAGTTCAGCAGCCAAATGTCATGAGACAAAAAGCCTTAATGAAAAAGTAAAATCTCACATTTCTTTTATTTTTAAACACCAAAGTTATATTTGTGACACCTCAGAGTTGTTCACATTCCTTACTTTGAGTTGTTCCCACCTTATTCTTTTAACATTTTTATTCACTTGAGCAACATTAAACAGTTATTTTGTTAACGGGTTTCTTTGAGCAGTTATTAACGGTCCACCTGGTACCTCACCTAAAGACAAAAACCTGGGCCAGGACTTTGTAGCTGATCTCTGGAAGACGTCCTCCACTGAGGAGCTGCATCTGATGGGAGACAGTTTTACAATTTGGGATAAAAATCTGAGTATTTTTAATCTTGTAAAATACGACATTACTTAAGTGATAAATCTTATGTCATTTCTGTGATGCATATGAGACTATAAGAGTGTGARCTTGTGTCAAACGTTTGTGTTTCAACAAAGAACTTTGTAACCTGGTTTCATCCAGCCAATGAATAAAAAAATACAACCTCTGGACAAAGAAACATCTAAGGCCCTGTTCACATGTGACTGCTCTCTGGAAGTGTTGGTGTTTCAGTGTTTAATGGGGTAAAAAAAATCCCTCATGTACAAGGAACCACTGCAGTAATGTGGCAGAGTTGCATCAAACTGTTGTACTGTCTCTTTAAAATGATTGTATTTTGACCCAAACTGTCTTTTATGCCGAGTATTAAGATAAAATGTGTGGTGTTTGGTGAAAATGGCACAGAAAAGGAAGGGCAAAAAAACAACCTGTTTTTATCTGGCAACCCTGAGGCTCACTCATGCACTGATCATGCAGCAGCTGCAGGATCTTAGTTACATCCAAACCTAGTGAATAAACCAACGTTCCTTCAGACTTTATAGTTTTTGGTTTTGCTCCTACAAGCTGCAAAAGGTGAGTAACAATAAAAAACACACCTGYTGTCTGTAMTTTATTGTAATTGTTTTMGCCTGTTTCAAAAAGTGCCGTGTCAGAATCAGATCACAGGTAATCAGCTGGATCGCAACAAAAATGTTACATTTTCACTGAAAACCAGCTCTGTGTAAACGGGGACTAACATTTGAGATGATTGTCTACTTTGACACCTGAGTTGACAGATTAACAGGTTTCTGCAGAACCTGAAGACCTGCTGAAGGAGCGACATGTAATTCATGGTAAAGAGGTTTGGAAATATTCCTCTCAAAAGGTGCAGCAGTAAGTGAAAATACTGTTTACTGGATGCAGACCAAAGCCTCACCGAGCTCTGGTAAAACTGAAATGCTRCTTTGTGAAATCAGTACCTTCTGAAGTCAAACTGCTCTGACTGATGGTCTCAGCTGCACACTGTAATCACAGCCTTCACCACTCGGAGATCCAGCAAGCTCAAAATTTGTACCAGTTTCCTTTTAAACCTTTTCACGCTTTAAAAAAACTGTTATCAGCGACCTGAAGGCATCAAATCACCATTTTTTCTGCACCTTTTGCGACATGACAGACAGGTGCAGAAACAAAAGGAGGAGCGGCTCAGAATCATTTTCTCTTGTGTTTGCAGGGATAAAGTCTGAGGAGCAGTTCGGCTCCAGAGCTGGGAGCCACGTTTCAGGCAGCTCAGTGCCGCCCCAGCATTAATGCAGAGGACATCAAGGATTACTTGGCATTTATTAAGTTGTCAAAGTCAAAGTGGATTTGTACGAGTCCGGATCCACAAAGAGGCAGCGGCTCGGCCTGCGGCTGATAGCRCTGCCTGCTTCTGTCCAGTTAGCGGTCAGCTCTGCTGAGGCAGCTGCAGTTAAACACACTCTGACTTCTCTCCTGCTGCCCTTCAAAGAAAAGTGGAGATTATTCATGGAAACAGTGGGCTTTGCTGCAAACTGCTGCTTTTAGTCTGATTCTTTTGCAGATACTGAAGAAAAGACACTGAATAATTTGTTTTAAAAGTAGTATAAAAGTAAACAGTTATTTTTTTATTTTACCAGGTAAAATATTTAAATACATGAACTGGTCATTAAATCATTTAGAGCAGGAGAATAAGACAACTGGGAGTAAATGTTGGTTTGAAGAATCAGCATGTGGTTAGGAGCTGAACAGATTGTTTATAACTATTCAGGTTTTTCTTGTTTTTAAAATGGTCAAAACAAAAAAAAGTTGGGATTCAATCAGTTACTGATTATTTGTTGTTCAGGGTAACAATTACAGTTTTTCAGTCTGTTAGCACAGCGTAACTCTAGCACTGAAAATGTGTGCTTSTCCTTTGGAGTGACATCTCATTTATTCTTCAGCTTAAACAACCTTTTAAAAAACAGTAAATACATCTGTCAGACTGCATCTGTATTTTATGAAATACGCTGGTGAAGACTCAGTTATCCAGGTCATGATCAATCAAAAAGTTAAAAACAAAAACTGGACTTTCAGTTCTAAAGCTGAAATTTAACAACAACTTTAGAATTGAAAGTCCAGTTTTTGTTTTTAACTCTTGATTGTTACGTCCACTATAGAGGGGGGAAAAAGTAACATTTTCTGACATAGAGCCCGCGAGGGGACATGGTGGCCTTTTTTTTCTTTTCGTCGTTTATTAAAAGTCGTTTATCTCTATTGTGCCTGCTGGTTTATTAATAAATTCTCATGCTCACCATTATAATGGGAGTTAGTCTATTTTAACTCTGTTTTGGAATGAATAGAAATCACGCAGCCATACATGGAAGTATGTAATATGCAGAGATTTTAACTCAGCCACAAAATATCAGTGTCAACTTCCTGAACTTGTGGCAACATCCTTTTTGGTAACCAGATATTTCAAAACAAAAGTCTGATTTAARCAAACCTTTGTGAAGGAAGGCAAAAGTAMTGCCATGTAACACTAATGCTCATTTACTGATTTGTTTAGGTGCACCTCTGTGTTCATGTAGAAACTAATGAAGCTCTGTTGTGGACAAAGCTCCACATGAAGCAGTTAAGGGTCAGAGAAATCCTGGTGTCTCAGGCTGACTTCACCTCAGCTGGTGCTCCAAGGATGAGTTTGTCTCTTTAATATCTCTAAATAAAGATCCTGTAGGTGTCCTGGCTCTGGRAAGGCTGAGGGTTAAATGTGTTGTTGGATTAAACCTCCACAGTTTTCTCTGACACGGCAGGTTTTTGTTGGTTCTGAATGAAGAGAAGAATCTGGCTCTTTCACCTGTTATTGTCTGACTGTGTGAAGCAGCTCCAGGTCCACATGCAGATGAAACCTTTCCAAACCTTTTCTGTTTGAAGTGAGAGGACYGTGGCTTCAGATGAAGTGCAGCTAACATTTAATAAATCCTGGATGAACATTCATTACTGATGTTTTTTATAATCAACTGTTGTGACAGATAAAGGGAGATATAACGTGTGTGACATCAATAGTTTCATAAAAATYTAACTTCCACCACCGGTAAGACTTCATAAGACCTGATCAGATCAAACACGATCCTCTCAACATGAAATCTCAAAAGAGGAGATTCTTACCGCGTTGTTTCCGTTTCCATTTAAATGTAAGCCGCTGTCGAAGAGCGGAGAGGCCACTCGGCTGTGATCCGGCCCCGGAGAACCTGAGGAAGAGACAAAAAGAGGAGAATGATTCATCTTAAGAGATCTAAAGAATTAGGTTAAATTGCTCAGTCCAGCCCATGTGCATCACTTTTCATCCCCTCTGTAGTGGCACACTTGAAGGATTATTATTGACTTTACTGCAGCATCCTGCCTTTAAGCTAAACACTAAAGATCACAGGCAGCATCCGGAAAAGAGGAATGCTGCTCTTTGATGATAATTTAGAGAGCCTGTGTGGTTCAGTCACACTCTAAAGTGGAGCAGGAAGTCTCTGGCCTTTTCTGACTCGTGATTTGTCTCATAGGAGGGAAAACAAAAAGCTCCGTTCTCTGTTTCATCAGGCCAAACATGGAGCTGAAGTCCTCTGATTTCTATCTGAGCCACGACACAAAGACAGATTCTCTCACAGCAATCACTTTTCATTCAGAGATTTTATCAAACATAAATATTCATTCACTCCTTGTAGTTTTAATCACTTCACATCTGTGTGCCCTTAGGAATCAGATCAGTTTTACATAATGATTATGATGTTTGCTGGTGGAAACTCAACTTATTGACAAAAGAAAGTTCATTTCTTCTTCTGGCTTATAGCAAATCCAGACAACAATTAGAGTCAGCTCAGCGGGGTGGATGTTTGTTTCTTAGCGAACGATTAAACATCTGACAGATCTGACGAGAGTTTAATGACGGGAGCCATAAAAAACGTTCAACTTAAACTGAAATCTATGAGCGCCGATAACTGATTATTTTCTCTAAAATAAAAAGTGTCTCAAGGGAAGAAATCCATTTTCTTCCACTTATTTGAACAAATCAGAGGGATCAGGCTCAGGAGGAGTAACCACACATTCTGATCCCTCGCCCCAACCCAGAGGGAGCAGTCCTTCTTTTTCCAGCTACACRCTGGACCATAACCTTCAGGAGGCACCATCAGACCCTCCAGCTGTGGCAGACCACCCTGTCCATGACTCCAGCTTCAGCTCCTCTCCATGAAGACCACAATCTGGAAGCTGCAGCCCTGGTGGAGCCCAACCTGCACCAGGAGGAACTCCGACTTTCCCTCATCAGAACCATTCAGAGCGTTGCTTTGACTCATTCATGCATGTTGGAGAAACCCTTGAATCTCCTGGGGTAGCTGTGTGGAGGTTGTTGGTACAAAGCTCCTGCCTGGAGCTCAGTCTGCAGCTGAGCCACCCCTCCCAAGCATTATTGTGTAGACGTGCTGAAGTGGGAGTGTCTGAAATGGTAGGAGGATCTTAAAGAGACAGAGGCCAAATATAAGGTGTTTATTTCTTTTCATAACAACTAAAGGTAACGGTATAGAATTAAATTATGTGCCTGGAAAATACAGAATACTCCTCCTTTAAAACCCAGCACCCCTACTTCTGTGGTCCAACAGATAAAAGCCACAGATCCTCCTGAACTCAAAGTTTGAAAATCTGTTTTGTGCGTCTTTTCAACCCCCTGCAGTAAACTCATCAGGGAGTCTGGGTACTGTCCTCCAGCTTTAACATAAAAAAGATGAAACTGCRCAGAATTTAGATTTATAACAAACAATAAGTACTGAAGCTGGTTACCTACTTTTATCAGCTGAACAGCTTTATTGTTAATATTAACGAGAAACGTGCCACAAACTAAGTTTAGTTTCACTTTTGCTTTTAAAATATTTTGTGTGCAGTTTTTCCCACCTGGATCATTTGAACTTTATCTGTCCAACTGGAGATGATTTCAGGGTTTSTACTTTTATCTTTACAAGCTGCTGAAGCGCAGCTTATCTCCGTTTCTGATTTTACTGCCTCCCTCAAACCGAACAAGGCAATTTATCTCTGAAATAAAAACGCCCGTCGACTGAAAACAGAACCAAAATAAAGAAATAAAAAGGAATAATGCTTGGCCGTAAATGGGGTTTGCTTTGCCGTTCTGAAAATAGCCGGCGAGGTTTATTGCGGACCTGAACGGCGTCGCAGCCGGTGAACGCTCACCTAGAGGCAGTTTGAGAAATGATGGGACTTCTCGCAGGTAGCGAACGGTGATGGTGACCTCATCGCCGGCGGTACGCAGGAGGTGAACCTGCCAGCAGAAACAGATTGATACGGTTAGCGGGAGAGATCTCTGTGATAAAACCTGATCTCGTAAACCAAACGAGAGATTTGTGTCGAGCACGCGGCCGCAGCAGATGTGTGAAGAATCAGAATTTACAATCCGACTGAAGTGTTTTCTCTGGATGCATTAAAAGGACAGGAGCTGAAGGTCAGCTCGTCTCTGGTGACAAGTGGCAGAAAAGTGGCACACAAAGCAGCTGTGCTCTGAATGCTTTATCATCTGGGGCCTAAATGCTCTAAAGAAGAAACTTAAAACGCCCCGTTATGGTGAGGCATTCGTGTCAAATTAGATTTATGAAACTTCTTTGCATCTTAAATAAGAGAAGACAGAAAAAAGGCAGACAGGCTGATAGATGGGACATGGGAGGTCACGTCCCTCKCGTCTGCAGCAGCTCGTGTTGCTGACAGACAGACAGGCTGCCATTAAAAGCTCTGGCTTGTGTTCTGAAGAGAAACTGCTCATTATGCATTCTGACACTCTGGAGGTGAAGATAGTGAGAAGAACAGCTGTTTGGAGCTACACGGAGAGAGAAGTGTGGGTGGGCRTGTGGGAGACGAGGAGGGGATGGCAGGCGATAAAAAAGATATTTAACAAAGACGGGAGCTAAACGGCACGAGTTCACAAAGCAGCTCAGATATTAGCTGCTTCCATTTTACAGACGCTTGAAAAAAAAAATCAGCTCATTTTCTGTCTTTTCATTTTCAGTCAAACTGCATCAAAACAGGCAAAATGAGCACATGCCACATTATATAGAATAAAAGTTGTCAACATTTACTTTGGCTGCATTTCTTTTGACATTTGTTGCATCATTTAACAAAAATATTTATACTTACAACTTCCTGATGGGTGCAGTGCTCCACATTTATGCCATTGACCTAAAGAAATGAGCACAAAGGGTTAAATAAGTCATTTATATACTGTATTTGTGATGTTAAAGGAAAAAAAGATAGCTGGAGCAGGGATGAGCAACTGGTGGCCCGCGGGCCACATCTGGCTTTCAGGTGTCGTCCAACTGGCCGGCCAATCCACCCCCACAAAAAKCAGTTCTACTTAAAATAACCCACTCAAAGCAGCTCTTCGATTTTTTTATTACAAAAATCTAAAATTATTTCAGCGGCACTGAATTGGTTGTAATGACAAAATCTGCCACTAGATGGCGTCTCCCACGCAGGTGTCACTCGAGAACATCGTCTTCTCTACCAGTGAAGAACAAATTTAACCATAGCTTAGAACCGAGGAAAGAATAAAACTGGACGGATTAAAAAGAAACASGTTTCAGGTGAAATGGGAGGTAAATTACAGAGTTTAGTCTGTTTAGAGACGCTGTCAGCCATGAAGGATTTTAATAAAAGTGACATGTTGCACAAAGCTAAATATGAGAAGTTTACTTAAGTCACAAGTACATAAACGAGACTTTTACCAGAAACATAACAACCAATTTGCAGATAAACAAGATAAAACTAATAATTTTAAATTAAAATAAAGATCTGGGATGGCAGCAAACAACAAGAATTACCCAAAGAAGTCAGAAGACACAGAACTAACCGGAGCCAGGAWTCACGAGTCAAAGAGGACGACTGAATCAGAAGCAGAACTATATGTTGACAGGAGGAGGGTGAAGGACTGGTGGGAACAGCGGAGACCACCGAGGTTAAGGAGCAGGTGTGGCTTCGAGCAAAGAATAAGACAAAGAGCTGCRCTTTTTCCCACTTTTATTTTTAAACAGAGTCCTAATTTCCCGCCCTTATCCCTGAAAACTGTCCCTTCTCAGCTGGTCCCTCCTCTTCAAATGCTGCCAAAACCACTGCGCTGCTCATTTACTGAGCTTCTCCTCCTGATGAGTCGCAGAATTCTGCTGTGCCACGATTCAGATACGCTGCAAATAAATATCAAGTAGAGACGATCCAAAGCTGGAGGCTGCAGTGGTTCCATTCATATTTTAATTCCCAATAACCTCCAACAGGAATGTTGTTATATAGCTCTGCTGCTCATTCAACCTGTTTAAAATTCTAGATAAACAGCACATGCAATAAAAAACCCCAGACAGATTCAAATTAACTTCAGTGAATATACATCAGACAGTGCCTGACAGTTATTCTGAGGAATATTGGTTCCTATTTGTTAGTGACCTGCTGAATTATTTAGCGCAGACTGACAGAAATGTGGTGGATAAATTGAATCTGGAGTGGTTAGTATCACGATAAGAGCATGACAAAAGAGCACGGAGACATCCAACCACTCAATCAAATTATGCAATATTCAGCTCCCTTTTCCTCTAAATTAATTTCACTGTCAAAACAACAGAGTCCAAATTAAGTTTCCTCTTTCGTCGGCGACCTAAACCGGCCTCCAGGAAAATAAGTCACAAACCGATGTACCCACCTGCAGCACGGCGTCGCCGACGAACAGCTTCCCCGTCTGATCGGCTGCGGACATCAATCGTCAGAGGTTAATGAAAACATTACAAAATAATTGCTCATTTCATACAAGGTAATGTGGTGGAAATGGCAATCAGCGTCTGTCAGAATCATCTCTGAGAACATCCTAAAGGTTGAGGAAAGAACACAAGAAAGCTTGAAATTGGGAACTAATTATTATAAACTCATTTGCAGCAAAGGGAAACAGTGGAAGTCTTGTTGCGATGATGTCCTGAAGACATTAACGACGTGTGTATAAAGACATTAGGACRCATACATTTTACAGCGGTATTTCCAGGGCATTAAGCTCTCGCAGCCACTAAAGACTTTGTTTGTCTTTGCGTTTAATGTGTATGTTGATGCCATCGAGGCTCGTTTGGAGACGAGCCATTTATCTCTGCTACAGTTCGGGTCACTGGGTTTGACAGCTGTTAGGAGAGGCTAATGAGAGCAGAGATTATACAACACAAACTTTATCACTTCTTACCTACTTGATCTTTAAAAATCTTGGAAATGACCACCGGCACGTTGTGCTCTGCACCTCCCTGAAGAAGACAAAGCAAAGAAAAGCTGAATAATGTGGAGTTTTTGCTCTCCTCTCCGCTGTGGTGTCTCCATAATGAAATCTTATCGGCTTACTTTGATGCTTAAGCCCAGGCTGCCAGTCGCTTGTCTTCGTAGTACAACAGTTCTGTGCTTTAGAAAGGGGGAGTTTTTTTATTGGCAAAGGGATACCGTGGACACTGAAACAGTACTCTGGAGTTGCGTAGCATGAATTTCAATGCACGTCCCGAGCGCACTTACATTTACTTGGGATTCAGTTCCACTCGTGCAAACCACGTCCAGCTTCTGTATGGTTAATGCGTCTCTGGTTAATTTCAGGCAGACATCATAGGTATTGTTGGTCTCCTCATTGTAGAGCAAAGCAATTCCTGATTTTGTCTGTTGTAAATGAGAAGAGCATTGACATTTTGCCAAGCAGAGCAATTATGCACACAATGAACATTTTAATCCTCTTTTCTCAATTTGTCTTTTTTGTACGCAGTTCTTCTGTTGGAGTTTTGGGTTAATTGGTTTTGCTCGACACAGACAAACCTTTGTGTGGGAAGAGAAAAAATAAAATTTGGGAAAAAAAGGCGATTTATACTTTTTTTCTGCGCTACAAGACAATGGATAAATGTGATTTTAGAAAATTGGAGGTGATTTAAATCTTGACTGAAATGTCAACTTTCATAAAAGAACGCATTTTTGTACAAAAAGAGAGATTCCAGGTGCAAAAAAAATCAGTTTGAGCAAACTTATAAGTATTGTCTTATTCCATATCTATTATTGGCAAAACATAAAATGCTTTAAGTTCCAAAATGTGTCAAAGTTTAATGGCATCAAAATATCCAATAGCTTGAGTTTAGGAGCACAAGGATTTTATATCAACAATCTGCGTGTTTTTGGTTGGTTTAGAGAGAACAACACTGAACTATAACTGAAAATCTAAAGCAAATCAGCAAAACTAAAATAAAATATCTGAGCTACTTGTTACACGACTGAACTGTGCAAATATTGTTGTGAACTCATGTTGACATTTAGCTTCAACCTGAAACTACTCTGTGCTTTAAAATTCACACTAAACTTTTAAAATTCAACTCTTTGATAGGAAAATAAAAAACAACAAAAAGGTTGCATTTCCTCAATGGTCTGAGATGGGGGGGGGGGGCATTACTTTGTCTGCTCAGATAATATCAACATTTATTATTATTATTATTATTATTATTATTAACTGTTTAATAATTAAATTAAGCATTTCTTCTGTACTGTGAAAGTCATTGGACAAAATCTGGGGAAAAAACTGGTTCAGTTCCTTTCTGATCATCATAAATCAGTAAATTCTGCACATTGAGTTTAAACAATGAAGCTGCTGCAAAACTAGAAGGAACAATTTATGCTAACCCCAGCTGTATTACATTTGTGAGAGCTAATATATCACACAGAGTTGTGCTCCCTCCTCATATTGGTTATTTCCAAAGGCCTGACTTTATGTGGCGGTTTTATAATTTCCTGAGCTGCAACAAGCGTCAGTATGACTGATGGATAAGAGCAAATGTGGCAATTTGATGAAACAAACAGCAAGCTAATCTGAAATAACCCGACTATAACAAACAAACACAGCTGACTAAAACAAAAGTCCATTCAAWGCTTTGCATACACAAAAACCACAAAGTTTAAAACAGTTCAACCAGTTTATTCTAAAAGAAAACCCAAAGAATAACTTTTACAACACCAGGAAGCACAATGTTAAATGTTTTAATTACAATTACAGTTCAGGTTGAGATATTCATCAGCACATAAGATAGTAAGAAATGAAGGCACCAATTTTACTTGTATCCTGAAAGAAACAAAATGAATTCACAGAAGACAAGTGGGTGCAGTTTACCACTTTGTGTGAACTGCAGAATAGGATATGACTCCCTTTTCATTCATGTGCTCCTGAGGGACGAGTGCGTGTGAAGAAAAAAGGTCACAACCACTACATGAGTGAGGTCAAGCAATTCTCTTTTAAAGACACTCCAGAATGAAGGTCGGGAACTGCTCCCATCCAAGATGACAAGAGGAGAAATTAAGGCTCTACTGAACCGAGGCGGCAGCAGCAACACCTGCGACATTCAGACACAAAACCAACCAAACATTTTTATGACACCAGAACAGTCAGGGAGGGGAAGAAACCACGTTTCTGCTTTTCATTTCCAAGACTAAAAAGACGGTTCTCTTATAAACCGCTTTGTTTCCAGACAAATGAGATAAATTTATTCCTCTGATTAAAGACTTTCCTTACAGATTGCAACTAAATGCATCAAGTGATTAAAACAGCTTATTAAACAACATTAGTACAAACATTTGATCTTTAATAGAAATTCAAAGTATTACATAGATGGATCGGTGCGAAACTGGACTCTGTACCGGTCTGTTGTGGTATGACGTTAGTCTACATTGCTAACCTCACCTGTAGCCACAAACTTTGGGTAGAGACTGAACAAATGAGATCAGATACAACAGGTCAAAATGAGTTTTCTCCTCAGGGTAGCTGGACTCTTCCTGAGAGACCAGGTGAGATGTTCAGTTCTCCAGGAGAGACCGAGTCACTGCTTCTCCACATCCAGAGCAGCCAGCTGCATTTCATTTTATTTGTGACAACAATAAGTAAACTACTGAGGTGTAAAAACCACGTCTTCTGGTTCAAGTGGAACTGCTGCTGCTCATTGAAGAGAGAAATTCTGAAACAGGCTGGTTGAACAGCAAGAATCTTTATTTTGCAGTCCAGGAGATTACAGCCAAAAACCAAATTATGGCCTTCAAGCCAAATGATTCACCAAGTAAGAAAGATGGAGAACGAAGGCCAAGGGTGGGGGCGTACAATCCTCTTTATAGGCTTCACAGTGTGGTTCAACAGAGGCATCATAAATTTTGTCATGGTATACCTTAARCGTTCCTCTTCCTAATATGATAATATGTGCCGAGCTCTGAAGCTGGAAAACCATGAGACATCACATCTGTGCATTCCTGAGAAGAGGCCCCCCACTCTTGGACACTACACTACAACAAACTCAAAGGCAGTGGTGGGCACAGTTCCCCTAAAGCACTAAAAAGGGAAACAAATTTCCTGATTAGTGCTTTAGGGCTTTTGCTAATTTTAAAATGTATTGGTGGATTAGCACTTGCTAAATTTAAAAGCACTAACTGAGGTCTATAAATGTTATTGATCAACATTAATGTTAACAACTGAGGGTGAAAGCTTGTCAATCATTTTGTTCATGTGTGTCACTTATTTACAAGGTGACAATATATTGACAATATCAACACAAATACAGCTGTGGAATGTCAATGATAAGTCTTAAGAGAGCAACATGACAATATGTGAGTCATGTTGTCTGTTGAAGAATGTTGATGGGTTATTTTAGTGCCTTAAAATTACCTTTTGCTAAAACTTTCAGTGCATTAGTGCTTTAGAATTAGGGGCCTAAATATTTGAGTTAGTGTTTTAGGGCTTGTGGAACTAATTTTTAGATTAGTGCTGCCCACCAATGTTCAAAGGAAAAGTACGTAAAATTAAACCAGACCATCGAGCAGCATGATGCTGAAGATGAGAGGATGATGACAGAAGGTAAGCTAATGGTAGCTTTTTATTGTTTAGTTAAACTTGTGGATTAAAAAAAGACGTTAGTCTCTGCAAATGACTCACGTAAAGTTACTCATCGCCCGGTGAGTGAACAATCAATGAGCAGCAGTAGCTGACATCACATCGAGCCGAGCAGCCCGGCCCAGATAGAACCACAGGTCTCAGGGTTCCAGAAATCAGGGTGGAACTGCACCATGAGGGCTAATGCAAACACTCTTAACCCGGGTTTGAAGCCAGGCCGGCTCGTGCTGACCCGGGCTGGGTCTTACAGTGCACAAAAGGTCTTATGTCTCTCGGCTGGCCTGGCCTTCCGAGAACCTACAATCCTCCTAGAAAAGCTGTGGAAAGGTTTGGGCTTCCCTGATCAAGCTGCTGCCCAACTCGGAATAAACAGAAGATAAACAGGCAGACGGATAAATAATACTATTTATTCCTGCATATAAAAAGCAACCAGAAATCTTCCCAACAAACATTTACAGTCAAGTTCCAGATTAAACATTTAATCTCACAGTACACATTTTGCAAATAGTTTATTTTTCTATGTTTCTTTTAAAAGGAAAATAAATGTTAAGCGTCAACCTACTGCAACCTGACAGCAGCTGTGAAATAAATTCTGTCTCCAGTCTGAGAATGGGAGGTTCTGACACCGTCTGGTAGGTATGGTAATATTTCTGATTGTGCACAAGAATGAATAACATCTTGTAAAATCTAATAATATTTTTAAAGAATAAAAGGATACGAGAACAAAGCAATTCAAAGCGCTGTGATGAAGTGACCTTTGATGAACGCCCCTCAAAAAGGAGCAAAATTAAAGCGTGAAAAACAAACGTTTCAGCTCCTGACTTGAAAATTTTAAAAAGCCCCACAATCCTGTTTTATTAGGTCTTGTTTCCAAATATTAGAAACTTGCCAATTTCCATCTTAGGTTATACAACCTTTTATTCAGTTGCAAACATTTTATATTAAATTTTTAGCCAAACTAGAAAGTTTCAGGGTTTTTTTATTGGTATTTTTGAAKAAGCACTTCTATTTTTGCCATGATAACCGTTCCACAAAAGTAAAAGAAAATATTTTTCAATAATAGTTTATCTGTCCTATTTACAACTGTCACAAATGTGACAATTCTGACAGTTATAATTATTGGTTTTCTGTTTGTGAACCCCTCTGCATCAAAACACAGACAAGGTAAAGTCAKTCCAACTGTTTTTTAAAATCCATTTATCCTGTTTGTTAAAAACCATTACAAGAGTTTTGTAATGAAAATGTATATAGTATTTTAGAGAAAACAAACAGGTGGTTTGTTCCAGAAGAATCTGACAATGGTCAAACTTTAGATTCAGGAAGACAAAGGTTTTACACAGTTTATAGAATTATACTGTAGCTCTTTGTACTTGGAATCAGTTTCTGATGGTGAGAGACTTTAGGTCCTCTTCCCAGTAGGGGATGGTCGTTTAMAGCGCACTCARTTTCTGGTTAGCTTCTTAGCCTAGCTTTCTTCACGGTCGAGCTGGTGCACTACATTTGTCACAGACAAATGTTAGCGACTGGGTAAACTGGGTAAACCAGATCCAATCATTTTAAACTTCAACAGAGTCCACGCCGGGGTCTGGGGCTGGGCACTGGGGTGKGTGCCGGCCTGGCCTGGTGACTGCCTGCTGGGGCTCGGGATCTCTGGACCTGTCAGGCTTTGGCCTGGAGGGGGTGCGCCCTGGGGGCCTGGACCTCTGTGCCCTTTCCTGGATCTGCTCTGGTATGGCGGGTGCTGTTGGGGCCC